CTACATATGGATAAATTCCGATATGCGCGATTTAGTCGGCAAGTAACGCACCGTTATATTCAATTCGGGAAAAGCGCAGCGACGTCGGCAGAAGTTCGCAAAACGCGGGATAACTTCTGAGGCGAATTTTCCGAGTTTATACCCACTGGCTTTTCCGATGAAAGATGGATTTCAAAGGCGATAAATCTGCGTCCTGCTTGCATCTGGCGTTCATCGGCCAGGATCGTTTATCGATTTTATCCCCATTTGGGTTAAAAATGAGACTCACTATTACTAATCTCTCCCTCACCCTCTTCCTTTCTCTCCCCAACTCTCCTCAAACTCGCTGATAAATCGTATTCCCTCATTTCTTTCGTACGAAAGAACGCGCCTTCTTAATGAGCTCGAATTCCTTTCGCCAACATGGCTATGAAAAGGGATTTTTTTTATACACATATATATTAACTTAACTGATCTTTTCTATGTAAAAGTCCGATAAATTTCACAGAGACCGAAGAAATGTGATATCGCAGAAAATCTCGAATTTTCATGATTATTATTATATATTTTGTTGCATCAGCGTGTCAAATCCACACTTCGAATATAATACATTATTATTATTATTCTATCGTCATTATTATATTACATATCATGATTATTAAACAAATTATTTTATTTTATATTTCGTAAGTAATAATATCGTTTTTGTTGTGAAAGATAATTCTTTTAGGCAAAATATTACATATAATAAATTTGATACTTTTTATTATACTTAAATTTTCGGAATAAAAAAATTTTTTACGATAGACAAATCTTTTCTTAATATTTTTATATTTATGTAATATAATATATTATTATACAATTTAAAAAAATTATATTTTTAAATATATATATATATATAACTCTCTATTATACAAATAGATTTATATTTAATTATTTATACAATTATATCGAATTTATATATATATATTATATATTTAAATATATTTTTATACATTATATATATTTTTATATATATATTATTATATATATATTTACATATAATTTTGAGAACAATCATAAATATCAATCATTTACGATTATTGATGAAACGCTCAGTATCTTCTCTTATTGTTTAATATCCCAATTGCCGATAAGAGAGAACGAAGAGGATAGAGGGATCGAACAAAATATATTCGATAGGATACGAACTTTGGGGTGTTACGAAAATAATGCAGGATACATCGATTTGAAGTCCGGGAAAAATCGAGCGAAATTGAATTCGCCAGCGTGGAAAGCCAACTCGACTGAGCTTTAGTCGAGGTATGAGCTTTCGAAGGGATAAGAAGCTTTTAGAAGGTAATACGAGAACACGGCGAAAGCCAAAGTAAACAAATTTATATCTGCCCACGAAGGGATGTTTTCAGGGATGAGGATTCGAACGCGGAAGCGACTGAAAAATGACAACGTAATCCCGGGAGATCTCGGCAAGAATGAATTTTCACAAACCCGCCGTTGTTTTTTTATTTTATTGTGCCCGAGTTTGACGGATAATTAATTATCTTCGACCTAGAAATTTATGTTAATTAACAGTTCGCTTCGACATCTTTTATATTTTAATTTCAAACAAGTTAAACTTTTTTCTAATATCTTAATTAATAATTTTGATTTTTTATTTTATTTAGGTATTATTTATTTAAATTTTATGTTACTTTATTTTTCTAAATATATTAAATGTATATTTATATTAAAAATTAATTTTAATATACTTTTAGAAACTTCATATATTATATCTTAAAAAATATATTTTTGGATACACACGAATGAAATAAATATATAAAACTCATAAAAAATATGTCAAAATATTTCTAAATATATAGAAAAAAATACCTATGTATAAATTATTTATTTTCCACATATTTAAAAGTATTTAGACATATATTTTTTTACGTGAATGATTTATATCCGCACTGTCGCAAATCGTTGTATCATAAAAGCTCTTTCTTGTAATGCCATAATGGGAGGTCAGTGGAAAAGCTAAAACGAAGAAATGAACCGTTAGTTTATTAGGGATTTACTGAAAAAAAAGACGCAAAATTCCGCAATCCTATATATTATTTATACGAGATTTATACTGCAATAGAAACTGCAAAGCGACATTTCAGGCATGAAGTAAGTCACAAATCACAAAATTCCATCCCAAGGTATCGTCTTCGATTCAGTAGAAAAATAGCGGAAATTATCTCGAAGAAGGAAAACGGGAAATTTTCTCGTCGATTCCTTCGCGCGAAATATCTCCGACAAAAGGATGACATTTAACCACATTTTCTCTCCGATAGAAATGTTTGAAACGTAACCAATCAATTCAGAAAAATTTGCTCGCTTAAACGCTTCGATTCTTACGATAAAAAGCGCAAAAATAAAAACTATTTTTTTTTTTGCGAATAATTTTTATAATGAATATATACATATATTAAAAATATATGATGGAATTTGTCGATTTTAATGAAAATTTCACGATCGTATATAATAATAAAATCCTTTGTTCTTTTTCTCTCTTATCTCCTGGCTATTTTTTTTATTTCGATACGTTCGGATCTGCAGCTGCGGATTTATTTTTTTTTTTTCTATTTCTTATGATGAAGTACTACTACGGGCATGGACAGGAGACAACAGCAACGAGTGCGTCATTCGTCATTGGTCGAAATACCCGTCGACGCAAAATATCGATCATCCCTCGATGGCGGAGATAAATGCGGTTGCAGGGGAATTATTTATGCATTGGAAGCATAGCGGATTTATTTTTTTTTTCGCATACATTTCATGCAATTTAATGTACCGTCAAGATTTTTATTATTAAACAAATTATTTTCAAGGATTTAGATTTAGTATAGGGCTTTGCAGTCTAAAAAAATTGCTTAAGTATATAAAAATTCTATTAAAATAATTATTTATGTAATAATTAATTTTTAAGTACATATTTTAAATATATATGTAAAATGTAAATATCTATCAAATTGGATTATTTATGCATTGGAAGCATATAGATTTATTTTTTTTCGCATACATTTCGTGTAATTTAATACACCGTCAAGATTTTTATTATTAAACAAATTATATTCAAGGATTTAGATTTAGTATAGGGCCTTGCAACCTAAAAAATTTTTTTAGTATATAAAAATTCTATTAAAATAATTATTTATATAATAATTATTTTTTAAGTACATATTTAAAAAAAAAAAAAAAATATATATATATATCAAATAATATTGCTTATAAAAATTAACCTTTTCGTCGAAATTGTGTAAGAAGTCTAGAATTCAGTACATTGCTTTACATGCTAAATTTTTTAAATAATTTTAAAAATATATTTTAAGTATATATTATATATATACATATATATAAAATATATATTAAAATAATTATTTATAGTAATTATTTTTTAAATATATGTTTTAAATACATATACATATATCAGACAATATTGCTTGAAAAAATTAATCTTGTCGTCGAAATTACGTAAAGCAATGATAAAATTAATACACTGAAAAAATTGATAACTTGACTAAATCTTGCATATAAATACTTTATTAATCAAACATACAAAAATATTTAAATTAAATATAACATCAAATCTATATTTAAATTAAATATAATATTAAATCAAACGTGTACATGACTTATATAATTTCAATGAAGAAAATAAAAGAAATTTAGTTGAAAGGTTTAGTCGCAAGTTAACGATTTTTGTAGTGTACCAAGTATTTGTATACGGCCCATATGGGATATACTCTCTTGTTCTGTCGTTGTGTATCGACTCTTTCGCGGCGCGCGCTAGTGGAATATCGGTTCAAGTGACGCGAGTCGGCGTGTGGTCAGACGCGAGTAGCGGAGCACGGAATTAGAGCCTGAGAGAGGCGGCTAACGCGTGACTATAATTCATGAGATAAATCGATAGTAAAGCCGCGTTCACGCGAACTGTTTGTCGCGTTTAAAGCCTATTTGCGCAGATTTCCACGGAGATATCAATCACTCAATCACTATCCGCACTGTTATCGTGCGATCAATCTTCAGACAAACTTGTCTTTAAACATCGAATAGCTTATCATAAATTTTCCCATCTCTCAGACAGATTAGACACAAGTAATTTTATATTCTTATATTTTTTTGCAAAAAAGTATATAAACACGAATAATAAATGATTTTTGGAAGATATAAAATATTCGTTTCTTCAGAATTTACAACAAAATTTATTTCCTCTTGAATTTAAAACTGTCAATATTTTTACACAGATACACAAATTCTTGTATTAAATGTACAGAAAAATTCTGAACGATCCTAAAAAATTAATTAAAATATTATATTATAAACAAAAAATTTATTTTTTTTAATTTCAAATTTAAAAAATAAAAAGTTTTCTCCTGAATTCCATAATTTCATGCGATAAAATTCTTGAAAAAGAAGAAAAATTTATTTCCTCTCGAATAGTCTAATTTAAAAGTGTTAATATTTCTACACATTTAGATACAAAAATTCTTATATTAAATTTATTAAATAAAAATTCTCAACGATCCTAAAAAAATAAACAAAAAAATTAAATTAAAAAAATTTTTTTTCTCTGAATTCTTTAATTTCATGCGATAAAATTCTTGAAAAATAAGAAATTTACAACAAAAATTTATTTCCTCTCGAACAGTCTAATTTAAAAGTGTCAATATTTCTGCACACTTAGATATAGAAATTCTTGTATATAAATTTACTAAAAAAAACTTCTCAACGATCCAAAAAAATAAATTAAAAATCAACTAAAAAATTAATAATTAAATAATAAATTACTAAACAATTAAAAATTAAATTAAAAAAATGTTTTCCTAAATTCCATAGTTTCAGCGATAAAAAAATTTTTGAAAAATAATAAACGGGAAGGCCCGATACGTGCGCGCTGTTTTTCTGTCTGTCCACACGAGTCGGCTCGCGACTCACGTCTCCGCGGAACATATGCTAACGTCATTGAAGCAGCAAGATGCGATTTTCTGGTTTCAGCGGAGGCAGGACTGGCGGCGGCCGCCGAGATGAAGCAACCGGAAGAGAGAACGGAGGAGGAGAAAATGGCGTTGCTGGGCAGACCGCGGCTGGGTGAGGTATCCCGGGCTCAGATCAGGATCAAAGAGTCCAAGGAGTTCAAGAATACAGTGGATAAGCTCGTCCAGCGAGCAAACGCCTCCATAATACTCGGTGAGTTTCCACCTTAAACCTTTTTTCTCTCTCCGGGGGACAACTCGGTGTATATGTATATATATATATAAAGATACGAAGCTTCCGGGTCCACCAGGAGCATTATCCATTTATTTGGAGAAAGGAAAGAATCAGGTTTAAAAATTTAAATCGTTAGGTACGGCAAAAGGAATTTTTCTTAATTTTACATAACGTTATTTCGAAGGAACGAGATATACATTTTCTGTTCGAAGCAATAAATATAAGAGTCTGTAATTTTAATTTTTATAGACGTCCTCTCTTTCCTTATTAACGTTTTCTGGTCCCCGCAAAAGGAATTCTTTCGACTTGTATTGCGTTCTCGCTTACAAAGAAAGGTGTATTGCAACTTTGATATATGTAGTTATATAAAACGCATGAAATCTTTCACGTTGATCCCCGAGGATTCTCTCCCTCTTTTTTTTTCACCAACTCTGTCGTGAATTTATTATTGAACGGTACAGAAACATCCCCAACTCCCGAGCTTAACCTAACCTTTCCCAATGGAGGATAAAATGCGCATCGCGGGACTCGCGAACATCTAGATTGGAGCTCTTCAGAAATGCAACCCCGAGGAATGCGGCGTGTTATGCAGAGGGGGAGGGGGAGGAAAAAGAGGGGGTGGGGTGGGACTCGTGAAATTCAAGACTCCCCCCGGACGCCATATGCATGATTCTCACGTTTCTGCGTTTCCCGCAACCTCCTCCCATTTCCCTCCCTTTTTGCCGCACTCGCGCTATGCGGCCGTTTTCATGTTCCGTCATACTTCACTTTTCGCATTACTTCATATTCTCCGTGAAATTTCTTTCCATTCCGCGCCGCGTCGCGTTTCTCTCTCTGGAAAATTGAACCGGCAATTTACGAGGATGCTGACCATGTCTGTTTTACCGACTTTGAGTTTCGCGGCTTTTCTTTTTATTGGCTATATAGATTAAAAAAACCTGCTCCACAATTAAAGTACTGATAATAATGAACGGAGAGCGCTGAAATTTCGTTTAAAAAAACAATGAAAGTTAAAAAATTACAGTCCTTTATCGGCCTCTTGCATCAGCTCGTAACATTACTTATTTAATACAAAAGTTCTGCGGTTTATTTGTGCACAAAATATGGCGCTCCCAATAGAGATGACATGAAAGAATAATACAAAAGTAATCAAAATATTATCAATACTTTCATTGTGGAGAATTTTTCAATCTGTATATTTAATAAAAAGTGAACCTAACCTGAATTTTTAAGTCGGTAAAACAGAACTACGGCAGCATCCTCTTAAGACTTTGATATTAATTGGAGATGTGTGTTCAAGTACAATTGTTCTTCTCGGGCTTTATAGAGAGGGAAAGAGATAAATTACACGGGTCTGCGAAAGAAGAAGTTCCGAAGTCTCTTGTACATTTTTTATTACGAACTTTTAAACATGCGTTTTTGGGGAGCTTTCAATGCCATTTTTTTTACACCGCAGAAAAAAATGTAAAATTATATGCAAATCTGTATTATTATTAATTAATTTATAAATGACACCGTTATTATAATTGACACCATTATTATAATAATTTTAATAATTTTTTGCGATCCGCAAGACGGAACAAAATTTAAGACTTTGATATTAATTGTAGATAAGCATTCAGATGCATATATCAAATCGTTCCTCTCATACTTTAGGATTTTAGAGAGAAAAAGAGATAAATTATAGGTCTGTATAATTTTGCGTCTGAAAAAGAAGTTCCAAAGTTCTGCTACGAATTTTCAAAAATGATAAAAACACATTTTTTAAGGAAATTTTAATACCATTTTCCTCGAAACTTGACGCAATAGATTTTTTCCAGATCACAGAAAAAATATAAAATTATACCTGTGTTATTAATTAATTTATAAACGATATTGTTATATAATGGAAGTATAATGATAATTTTAATAATTTTCGCAATTTATTTTTCGCGATCCAGAATAAAATTTAAGGCTTTGATATTAATTGTAGATGCGTGCATTCAGTTAGATATATTAAATAATTCTTCTCACGCTTTCATGCTTTAGGATTTTAGAGAGAAAAAGAGATAAATTACAGATCTGTATAATTTTAGGTTTAAAAATAATAAAAACATTTTTTTTAGATTTCAATGCCATTTTTCCTCAAAAATTTGACGCGATAGACTTTTTCCAAACCGCAGAAAAAATGTAAAATTACACAAACCTATTTTATTAATAATTTTATAAATAGCACTGTTATATCATTGAAACAATGATATAATTTGACTAATTTTTCACGACTAGCAACGCGGAATAAAATTCCTAACGAAGCAGCATTGTCACCTCTCTCTCTCGTACTATATGAATACCGTAAATTTCCAATGAAATTTCCTCGAAAATGACGCTCTCTGTGTCGGATTCGCTTTCGTTATCGACTCCCGAAGACACAGAGAAGACAATGGAAAGCGCGAATCTCTCTGCAGCTATCAGTTTCAGCAAGAAGTCTCTGTTCTGTTCGTTTCCTCCTCTCGCGCTATTCCGGAGGCCCTCCTTTGCCTCATGTTAGGAAACTCTGTTCCGTGCGTGCTTTTCGTTCCTCAAAGGCATCTCGCCTCCGGAAAGCTCCGGATCGAGAAGTCGCGGTGACACCTTATTTTTTTTATAGCAGGTTTTTTTAAAATATTTTTCTCCTTTACACGAGAGAACAAAATTCTTCCATTCTCTTCACCTCTCTTTGAATCGTTTCTCTCAAAAATGCAATCGTCATGTTTTACACAATAATGGCTATTTAAAAGAATAGCTTTTTCCCGTATTATTGCAGAAATTATTGATTTGCCGTCAGCTAAATAAATTCAAAAGGCTTATATTTTATCGGTTATTTTATACGACAAAATTATTAATATTTATGATAAATGTCAATAATTGTCACGTCTCTCCATATTTGAATAAAGATATAAATAAATAATTATTCAAGTATACAAATAAAGGTGTAAATAAATAATTCATACATATATATCAGATAAAATATTTAAATAAAATCTCGCATGTTATACATAATAAATTAAATGAAGTGTTAATATACTACTTATGTGTTTTTTTTTGTATGTGTATGTGTGTGAGATAATGAAGTTGACTAGCGGAAAATATCGCATTGCTCTATTATAGTGAGCTTTTCTTTGTTCGATTTTCCTTTCTGCATTTTCTGCCTTCGTTCACCTTGTGAAGTGGAATCGCTCAAAGCATTTTCGACCGTCGCCCTCGATAAAACGCTTCATTCACTTGTTCGATATACTCATGGGTTTTTAAATATACATACGTATACCTCAAATTAGTTTACTACATCAGTACACATTCGGTATCGTGTTTTCTTTCTGAGAAAAAAAGTTGATTTCTTTTTCGCTTATTTAATGCATAATAATAAACAAAAATTATATCACTAAATAATGTTATTTAATTTAATTAATTTTCCAAATATTGTCTCATTATTTTAAGAATAATCATTGATTTTTTCAAATAATTTTTATAAAAACCGAAGATATTTTAAAAAATTAAAAATTTATTTAAATATCTCTCTCTTTTCTCCTTTTTCTGATGTAGGAATTCTAAAATCCATTTTCAGGCACGAGCTCTTGGAAGGAACAATTCACGGAAGCGCTGACCGTCAGCGGAGGCGACGAAGACGAGGAGGGTGGTCAACCCTCTCCGCCATCGGCGATGGATTATCTCATGCATTCGCTCACTATCTTCTGGAAAGTTCTCTTCGCCTTTGTCCCGCCTACCGGTAAGTACTAGTAATCTCTACTGAATTCGTATCACTTAAGAGGATGCTGCCGTTGTTGTTTTATCGACTTTAAGTTAGGTTAGGTTCGCTTTTTATTGAATATACAGATTGAAAAATTCTCCACAATGAAAGTATTGATAATATTTTTATTACTTTTGTATTATTCTTTCATGTCGTCTCTATTGGAAGCGCCATATTTTGTGCACAAATAAACCGCAGAACTTTTGTATTAAATAAGTAATGTTACGAGCTGATGCAAGAGGTCGATAAAAAGACTGTAATTTTTTAATTTTTATTGTTTTTTTTATATGAAATTGCTTTAATTATGCAGAAAGATTTTTCAATCTGTATAGCCAATAAAAAGAAAAGCCCTTGAACTCAAAGGTGGTAAAACAGACATGGTCGACATCCCCTGAAATATATATGTATATATATATATATATATATATATATATATATAGTTAAGAGGAGTAATAAATTTTTAATTTTATAGTATATCAAACTGTTAATGAGAAATGTGTGTTTGTGTGCGTCTGAAATAAGAGTTAAATAGGTTTTTAGTGAGAATATATTGTCTCTCGTAAATAGGTCATTTAGTTAGAATATATTTTCACGGAGTTATGAAAAAAGTCGTAAGCAAGTACGAAAAAAAGAAAATAGATCTCTGTGTTTTATATATCTTCTTTCATATCTCAATGAGTAAAATATAAAAGAAGGATGATTATCTAGATTGAAAACAAAACTATTGAACTCAAATAAATATTTACTTGAATAGTTCTATTTACACATTTGTTTGAAACAAATAAATATTTCTCTGTTTTGAAAAAGAATGTATTATATCAAATAAATATTTTTCGCAGCAAATGAAATATTATTAGTTTAAAAAAAATAATGTATAAAATAGTATTGAAATAAATATTTATTTGAGTAATTAAATAATTTTTTCAGTGTATTTTAGAAATGTTTGCATTTATTTGTTGTCTTGTTTATTAGTTATTATAAATCACACATACATTCTCAGAGAATTTATTATATTTTAACTTATATACATATATATATATATATATGTATATAATAATTTTATTTGCATATATATACACTAAAAAAAATTGTTAACTTGACTAAACCGTTCAACTAAATAATATTTTGTGAACTAAACATAAAGATATTTAAATTAAATATAACATATTAAATCGAACAAAAGATGTATTTGACTTAATTATTAATATATGTTCAATTAACAAAATAATAGTTTAGTTGAGAGGTTTAGTCAAGTTAACAATTTTTTTTAATGAATATAATTTTCTATATATAAAATAAATTTTCTGAGAATTTGTTACTCTTCAAGGTATATATATATATCTTGAAGACATCTATCACAATAAGAATTTTCTTATATATAAGAAAGTTCTTATTGTGATGCCTCACGGCAAGATTATGGGGTCAGAAAAGCAGGTGTTCGTTATCGCTAAAGAGTTTGATAAAATCGATATACGTTATGCGATGCGAAAAGATGCTTTTAGTATGCCCTCGGGGTAATAATTCAACTCGCAAATGCGAATGGTGGTTGCAATCTTACGTGAAAACGACGTCGACAGACACGAAATTGCAATCGGCTTTGACGCGATGGAAGGTAAAGTGAATTTCGATCGAAACGCATCATCGGGCGCTTATGATGGCGCAATCTGGAAGGCGAAACGGGAGGGGCACCGAATCAAGCCTTTCATGTCCGGATTTTCACCCGATTTTCTTAATATTTGCGGGTGCATACTCGTATAAACTTATTAATTAAAAATTATTCAACAGTTCAATTAATATTTTTACGTTAAGGAGATGCTGCCTTAGTTCTGTTTTACCGACTTTAAGTTAGGTTAGGTTCACTTTTTATTGAATATACAGATTGAAAAATCCTCCACAATGAAAGTATTGATAATATTTTTATTACTTTTGCATTATTCTTTCATGTCATTTCTATTGAGAGCGCCATATTTTGTGCACAAATAAACTACAGAACTTTTGTATTAAATAAGTATTGTTACGAGCTGATGCAAGAGGCCGATAAAAAAACTAATCTTTTAACTTTTATTGTTTTTTTATACGAAATTGCAGCGCTCCTCGTTCATTATTATCATACTTTAATTGTGGAAAAGGATTTTTTAATCTGTATAGCCAATAAAAAAAAAAGCCATTGAATTCAAAATCGGTAAAACAAACATGGTAAGCATCCCCTTAAATTAATATAAAAATATATGCAAAAAAACGGGGATAGTTATAAATATAAATTGATTTTAAATCATTTATTTTAACAGATTAATATAGACTTTTTTTAGAAATACATAAAAAAAAGACACGGTACTTCAGGAGAAAAATGTATCAACTTTACGTGAAAAGGCTCTTATATAGATTCTTCTCTTGTAACTTTGTAAGGAGCATGAGAAAGAATTCTTATTGCTTCTGCTATTTTATTTCATAGATTTTTCTTGGATTTTTCCCAAGCGCTTTTCGCTCTTCTCAGTTTCGTTTAATTCGACTTTTCTTTAATTTCCGACTTTTCCTTTGTTTTCTCTTCTCTCTTTCCCTTTTTTTTTCAAACTATATACGAAAGGGTTTGTCGGCGCCTTTAGTCACGACGCTCCGCTTCCATCGGGTGGAAGAAAACGAGGAAAGACGACGAAGCAGGGATGAGGAAAGGGACAAGGGAAAGACGTGTTTTATTTCAGCGAGCACAATCGCGAAAGCCTGCTGAACTGGCAAGAGCTCGGGAAACTACTGTATCGAGCAACGTAGTTTCATCCTGTTTATTCTTCTCTTCCTCTTGCTCTCTCTCTTTTTCTCTCGCCATTCTTATAAATCAACGCTTCGTTACAAGATGCAAACCTGCATTTATTCCGCTCCTTCTCGCCCCATTTTTCGAGAGAGAGAAAACCTTAGATAGCTAAAAGTTGTCAAAATGAGAAACTTCCTGAATCTTTTTTTGTTTAAAAAATGTAGAAACTTAAGGTAGAATAAACAGGGTTGGGTAATAACTAGTTAATTAGTTAAAAAATAAAAAAAGTTAAAAAGTTAATAACTTTTAACTTAGCTTAGTTTATTTAAAATGTATTAATTTTTAACTTCAACTAGTTATTTTTGACCTTAAACTTCCTTAATTTTTTTGTTAAAAAAATGTAGAGATTTAAGGTAGAATAAACAGAGTTGGCTAATAACTAGTTAATTAGTTAAAAGATAAAAAAAGTTACAAAGTTAATAACTTTTACCTTAGCTTATTTTTAAATTAAAGTATTATTAATTTTTGTATTTATTTAGTCAATTGTAATTACTAAGAAATATATTTCTATATAAAAATCAAAATTTAACTTAGTTTAAAAAAATTATTAACTTATCCAACCCTGTAGAATAATATATGTAGACGTTCCGATTTTACAAACAAAATCGAAAGCTTGCGATAAACAATTTTACTCGACAATAAAATATATATAAAAAAAAAAAATAAAATAAAAAGTGAATAAAGAAGATTCTTGGCTGTCATGGAAATAATAATCTTATATTTTTCACAATTGGCATACTTCTCAAATTTTATGTTCGTAGAATTTAAAAATTTTTAAATCACCCAAATTCTAGAATTATGCAACTATTATGAGGCAAGATATTGTTGCAAAATTCATAATTTTCCTAAACGCAATTTTTTCGCAATAAGACATTTGATGAAAAAAGCTAGTTTTTTTATGTATTGTATATAAATCAATATTTCTTCTTGCATTTGCTTTGTATAACATCTAAGAATTAATTTATGGTTCAAATAAATGGCATTTTGGATTTAAATAATATGTCTAACCGCGTGAAAAATATATCTTTATTTCTTGAAGATTTGATCTTTGTATTTTTAGCAAAATTTGTAATTTTTTATTTTTGCCTCCAGAAAAGGAGAGATAAATTTTGAGAGAAATTATAAAAGAAAATAGGTGATAAAATACGAGGACGAGAATTGAAATATTTAATTTACGGATTATATATATATAATACATAGCGTGTGCGTAATATTTCAGTTTCGCGGCTTTTTGAAAATGTTAAGAAATCCCATGAATATACCCGTATACTTGTATAGAGATAAATGCACGACATACATACATACATAGAAGATGCACACGCGAGCACCGTTCTCTGCTTTTCCACGAAATTTTCGCGTGATTTACGACGACCTGCACCCGCATACTCTTTTCCAAAGTAATTTTCGTTCGCAGAATTTACGACAATAGCTGTTCCGGCTCTGTGTACGGCTGTGTTCGAGATACTAAACAAGTTTTTCTCAATAAGAGTTAGAAACTGATAGATTTGTCGAAGAAAAGAAACGGTAGGTTTGCCTGAGTAAGACTAATAAATTACGAAAAACTCTCTTTCTCGAGAAAGCTTCTCTTCTCGCTTCAGATAATGTCATATTTTAAAAGTATATAACTATTATGAAATAATTAGATTTGCGAAAACTTGTGCGAAAAAAAAATACAGCAATTTTGTTTCAATACAGAAAATAAATTAAATATAAAATATAATAATTCATAATAATAATATGTAATATTATATCATTTATTTTCTATAATATAAATATATTATTTTTTATAAAATTATTGTCATAATAAAATAATAATTAAAAATAAATAAAATAAACGACAAGAAATATAAAAAGTAGTCAGAAATAAAAAATTAAATTAAATATACAATATATATAATTCATAACAATATATAATATTATATCATTTATTTTTTATAACATAAATATATTACTTTTTATAAAATTATTGTGGCATAATAAAATAATTAAGAATAAATAAAATATAAACGATAAAAAATATAAAAAGTAGCCAAAAATAAAAAATCAGAAACTTAAATTTTTTTTTAATTAAAATTAAAAAATGGCATCTGCATAAAGTGGACAATTATTAAAATATACATATAAAATATAAATATTTTTTCTTTAAAATGTAACGTATTATATAAATTAGTATTACCCTAGTTAAACTGATATTAGAATTGACTTTAATATTTCCTGATATTTAGTTTAATAAAGTTATAGTATACAAGCTCTTATTATACTCGATCTCTCGGGAGTTTTCGAGCCTGCTAATTTTTCGATAATTAATTATTACATATAATGTAATCAGGGGGAGTAATAAGGGGCGAGTTTCGCTTGAAAAGGGGATAGCGAAACACGTTAATAAATCAGCTGAGTTTAGCAAGAGATTACAGCAAGCGTGCTGCGATAATATACATCGGCCACGTGTTAACAGTAAAACTAACCGCGTGTTTGCAGACTCTTTAAGCTATATTTACGCCCACGTTTACCGTAAACGTGCCTTCCCATAAAGATCTCTAATAATAATTTTCTCTTGTTGTCAAAGCCATACATATACATAGGTACGAGTACATAAAGAAGCAGAAACAATGCCATAAATCTCAATTTGATGCTGCGGAAAAGCAGCAAAAATTCAGCTCTTGTCCGGCTTTATTAGTTTCGAAGAGAGACGGACGATGTATCGAAATTTGTATTTGCAGGCGACGTTGTATGAAAGAAATTTAGCCTTCGATTTTTCGTCAAATTTCAGATATGCATAAATATTCATTTGAGAGAGGAGGAATACACGTTTTCGGGAAGATAATTGGGGCAAGTGAAATTTGATCGTCAATAACGTGTGCGTCGAAATAATAGGGCGACGTTCGCACCGTGTAAACTGATTTAGTTATACCATAGTTCTGGATGGGTTGACAACTTTCTAGGTGAAGCGAGAGATCCATCAGCCATTGCTTTCCGCGCGAGCGAGGCCCGTAAAAACACGGAGAGCTCGACAATTTTCAACGTGCAAAGCGAAGTGCACTACCTATCTTCCCGCAATTTGCATGAAAACGGAAGTCTATCAACGTATAAACGCAAATTTCAATACATCACGTCCTAAAGATAAAAATAATAATTATTATTATATTATTATTTTTATTATTATATATTTATAGTAGTAATTATAACTTTTATTTATATCATATACATATATACTTATAGAGGGTGTAACTAAACAAAATAAGTATATGAAACACACTATCAGGCGCCTACTAAGACGCCATCTACGCTGTTTTCCACGCGCTGATTGGCCAATTTTAACAATTTATAGCGTCAAAAATAAAGCTCAGATTAAAAAATGGCTCAGGACTTTTCGATTTGGTTTGTCGTCCTGCATCTGATGGTGTGCTTCGTATACTTTTGTTTAGTTACACCCTGTATATATATATATATATTTTTTATTATATATGTATTATATAATATTTTATATTATATAATTATATAATATAAAAAATTATATAATATATAATAAAATACTATATATTATTTTTATATAATATTGTAGATATAGATATATATAAGTATGAACTCGAATATATCGCGGTTTTTACGTTGTCCTGTATTTTACAACAGCGTTGTTTACACAATTAAATCAATTAGGTGCTTTTTAGGCTAGTGGACCTACCTTTATTGGCCACAATCATTCTGGGGATGTAGCTTTGATCTCAATGAAGGAGAGAAATTCCTTTCGTTTCTGGCTAATTATCATTGCCAGTGCATGAATGTAATTTTACGCTCCGATACGATCGTGAGATATCACGATTGTTTAACATACGTCGTTGAATTTATAATTTTATTATTTATAATAAATTTATAATAAAATTTATTAAAAACGTTCATATTATATACATTATTTAACTAATCGATAATTTGAATTTACATCAATCAAAGTAAAATATTTTCAAGTCACTACATAGATGGATAGACTAGGCTAAACAAAAGATTAGGCTAATCAATGTTTGTTAAAAGAGTAAATTATTTTTATATAACGCAGTTATCATTATGTATATACAATTAATAATATCACAAATGCGTATTCTTTAAGTAAAATAAATAAATGAAATCTGAATTGAAATTCTTTTTATATTTTTCCTTAATTTATACTTTAATTTACACTTGTATATGTGATATGCTTTATTATGCTTAATTATGAGTATTAATCTATCAAAAGTTCAATTTAAGTAAGTTTGATCTAATTTATGCTAGTCTATCCATTTTGAGGCAACGAATCTGTCTACAATCTACTATCTACTACTATCTATTATTATCTACTAATTTACTACTATCTCCGATCTATAAATTCGTTATCTCGAAATTAAATAAAAGTTTATCTCACTCACCGATGCACAGCAGCGGATGTTCAAGCTACTAGCTGTCTGTAACATACAAATAAAAAATCTAAATTATAGCAGCGTTTAAATTAATTATTATATCAAAAAATTATTATTGGATGCATCGAACTTTATATTTGATGCATAACAATAAGAAACTGTATATAAACATATAATAAAATAATTTTATAAGTTTAAAAAGAATATTTCTTAAGTAAAAACTTATATATTAATATATTACATTTTTAATATAATTTTTTAATATAATATAATATATTAATTTTTTAAATATAATATCGTAGTATTTTTTTTTAAATACAGTAATTGTCTATATTTGCAATTACTACTTTTGTATATGATTTTATGCATTAAAGTTAGATGCTATTGAAGTTATAAAGTATTAAAGTTCTTATATTAATGCATATGTGTGTATTAATATGAATTTAATAATTTTCGTATTTCGCAATTTTATCTTTCGATTAAAACGTTTCCACAGAAACGGAAACGTTTTATCATTATCATTTAGTGCGCTGTATCTATTCGATATTAAAACGTTACATTCGTTAATTGGCTATCTAGCAATATTTTAAAGTGCTCGTTATGTTTGGCTCTGCATTCTCTCTGGCGAACTTAATACTCGGATTTTCGATTGGGATTTGAGAAAACAATATCTCGTTACGTGTATTTATTATTTTCGAAGTTGTTTTATTGTTGTTATATTGCAGGCGGAAAATTGTTAGAATTGTTATTATCGATACCTTTGTTGTGCGATGTCGATTCTGACGTGAAAGAGCTTCGTTTCGTTAATAGCGGTTAAAAATTGATATAATCGTCTAGTCGTGATTATTTTATTGAGAAATTACATTAGTATCCTCTAGAACGAATATTGTGTTGCGGAGTTGTATAATTCTTTTCATGACAGCCCCGTTATGTCCTGTCTCTCTCTCGAGAGAGCTACTGGATGAAAATGTCAGTAGGGTTTGTTCGTGGAATGTTCCTCTCACATTTTTTTTATATATGACACTGATGGATAACATTTCGGATAAGCCGGTGAACCGAACCGGAAGCAGAACCCGTTATCCCTTTTTTGTTCTAGTTGAATCGATATTATATTATTTCAATCTACCGTTTTTAGAGATATACACACAAATACAAGCTTCAATTTAACACATCTTTTTTATATATTATTTTTATACATTATTTTTATATTACACTTATATATATATATATTTTATATATATTTTTATATTATACTTTTATATATATTTTATATATTTTTTATATATTTTTTGATGCATATACAGAGAGTATCTAAATAAATGCAAAAAATTTTAGATAATTCTTTGTCGAAAATTGAGGGGAGTTTCTTATATAAACATATACTCTTACATCCCTTCCTGAGGAATTATACTTTTCTAAAGAGGGACGTAAAAATAAAAAACTTTTATTTTTTTTTCAAACAGACAAATTAAAAAAATGAAACTTGGTGAATATTTTTTACTAATAAAAAGGGTATTTATTAATATTTTTTAAAAATAAAAATATAAGAAATGAATTTTCGACAAAAAATCATCTCCTTAAATTTTTCGCATTTATTTAGATATATCCTGTATACATATATGTATGTATATGTGTGTAAATTACTTGCCAAAATTGAGTTTACATTTGTCGAAAATAAAGACGGAATTATAGCACGTTTAAAACTTCGTGATTGATGTACAACCTATATATGAGATTAAGCTAAAGTGTGCGGCGATTATTCCCGAGAGTAAATACAGACGAGGAAAAAATTATGCGGACTCTTAATTGAGAGTTCTCGAACGTACGGTTATGTAGGGTGGTTTTCGAGAGCATCGTCGCCTTTTGTAATTCGCACACAGTTTAATTGCATATCGCGCAAAATAATTAAAGCATTCGTTCCTTCGACACTATTTAACAATGTTATTTTAAATGTATTTAAACTTCAAAAACACTATTGATTTTATACTCGTTACAATTATTACTGAAATAAATTTTAACAATCACGATTGTATTATTTTAATCAATTTTTGTTATTTTTTTAAATCTTATTTTCTCGGCATTTTATCGATACGCGATAATTGCATATATTAACTGATTATCCCCAGTCTTTGGAATATTTTCATTATTTGCACAGTTTGCAGATTCAATTTAAAAATTTTTATTCTTTTCAAATTTCAGAAAAATTACAAAAATAAAATTTGGTGAACATTTTTTACTAATAGAAAGAATATTTATTAATATTTTTTTAAATAAAAATAAAAATATAAGGAACTCCCCTTAATTTTCGACAGAGAATTATCTCCTAATATTTTTCATACATATGTGTGTGTGTGTGTGTGTAAAATAAAAAAATTTGTAAAAATAAAAATAAGTAAATAATAAATAATAATAATAAATAATAATAATAAAATAACAATAATAATAATTAAAAAAATAATTTTAAATAAATAATTAATAAATAAATAATAAATAAAAAATAAATAAATAATAATAATAAATATGTGTATATATGTATGTGTGTGTAAAATTACTTGTCAAAATGTGATATTGAAATGTGGGAAAATATAAAGAGGAATTTTTCATTGAATTTCAGATATAGCCAGCGGCTACTTGTGCTTCATCGTCAGCATCCTAGGGATCGGTGTTGTGACGGCAGTAATCGGCGACGTCGCCTCGTATTTTGGTTGCACTTTGGGCATTAAGGACTCCGTCACCGCGGTGGTATTTGTCGCCCTTGGTACCAGCATCCCCGGTAAGTGTCAAACAAAATGGACCACGTGAAGCTGTTACAAGCTGTTACCTCGGAAATTATCGGCAAAATTTCTTTCCCCATTTTTTGTCTCAACAAAGTTTATTCAAGCAAAAAAATTTAATAATTAATTTATTATCGAAGCAAATTATGGAATAAATAAAGTACTGTTTCTTTTCACTTTATTCTCTTTGATATATCTATCTTATTTATTATTAATTATTTTAAATAACCTCGACTTCGAAAAATAATGATTAAAAAACTTGTACAATCTCTACTACTATTTTTAGGATAATTATCCTACTTAAATAGATGCTACGATTTTTGTTACTTTTTATTTTATCTTGAGAAAAATTGCTTTATTATATAGATGAAAAATAATAGAGAGAGAGCTTTATTAAGATTTTTCTATCTAATGAATAGCCTGTCGTCGTCCTTTTTTTTCAACGAACAAGAACGAACGGCGCTGAACAGCCGCCATGCTGGAGAACTTGTAAAACCTTAATGAACGTAATTGCTGTCACTCTGAAACATTATTTATGTCGTAAGAAAGTTGAATGACTTTCGGAAATTCCTCGCTATATACGCGATTTGCGCAACGAATCTTAATCCTTGTTCTAAAATTATTAAAGTGCAAGCATCCGCATTACATCGTATGTTTGTCTTGGCATTTATTTTCGTTGCGTATGATATATTCATCGTAAACGCGTATATATATTATGTACGTGTTAACTGTAATCTGGTTGACGTGTTGTTTTCGTGAGTTATTTTACTGCAAATAATATTCCAAAAATACACTTATTAACAGATCATTCAGAAATTATTACTATATCTTACAATGTTCCCGACAAATATTGTTTTAATAAAATAGATATTTTTTTTTATATTTTATATTTAAAAATTATTTTTTATATTTTATATTTAAAAAAATATATTTTTTTAGATTTTATATTAATATATACATATATATATATATATATATATATATATATATATATTTGTTTTTATTAAAATAATATTTGTCGGAAACAATGTAAGATAGGATTAATTTCGTGAAAAATGTGTTAATAAGAATTTTTGGAATATTGTAGTAAAAATAATAAAATTGAGTATACATATATATAATTTATTGGCTACATTTTTGGAATAATCCGGGGGAAGATATCAAGGAGTGGAGAGAAAGAGAGAGTAATATTCCAAGTCACAACACGTATTATAAAGGGACGATTAATATGCCTCTCTCCTGTTAGTTTACCTACACATCTTGCATTGGTCGCATTCCACTTATGGCGTCCGCCATATTGCGACAGGATTTTGGGATTACGAGAGAGCAGCAATAATTTATTGCAGCCCGGTCTTTGTAGTCCAGGAACAATGGTCGCTTACAATCCGTGCCCTTTCGTATTACTATAGGTATAGAACGTTTGATGCGTGCAACCGTAAGCATTTTGAATTATGCAGCCCGGGAAAGTTACAGAAACGTTGCGGAAATGTTGCGTAGCAAGGTTGCAATATTGCTGTCAAATTTAAAACAGAATATGTAAAGTTGCAGCGATTTTAAGACGATCCTAAACGTCTTTGAGAAGTCTGTGATTTCCGTCCTGTTTCATCGACGCGATGTGAGATTAGATAAACTATGAATCTATTTATCGGCTAAATAAGTTGCTTTTTACCCGAAACTAGAACGCTTCGCCGTCTTTTGCCTGTACAAATTAAAGTATTAATATTAACAAAGGGCGAAGCGTTTTAATTTCGGGTAAAAAACAATCTGTATAGCCAATAAATAGATTTATAGCTGAACCTAACTTCACATTTTGTCGATAAAACATAAATGAAACTTAGATTAGCTTAGGATCCCTTTAAAATGTCTCGTTCTCGGAAAATTTTTGACAATGTAATGCAATATGTATTTGTATGTTAATGCAACGTTTCTGCAAACATGTACACACACTATGTTATACATGATGTTGCGGAAGTAATCTTGACGAACAAACATAGGGATATTTAAAAGATAAAAAAAAAATACTAGTCCTTTTTCGTATTTTTTGATGAAAGAAAAATAAATAGACGAATAATATGTGTCAATTGCAATTAATTGTAATGTAACATTATGTGTGATATGTAGATAGAATAAGATCAAGTATCTGTCGCACAGACATTGAAACAGACGTTTCTGTATTTTTCTAGAGACCCAAGATGTGTGCCTGGGCCGCAAAAAAATAACGAATGACCGATCGAAGGTTAATAATAAGGTTATTTGCTTAATTGAATGTTCATATATATCTTCTTTCAATATTTTCCAGATATAACCTTTTCAATCTCGTCTAGACTAAAAATTTGTTATTGATTGGCATTTTTTAAAGATTTGTCCTGTGGCTTCTATACACTCTATAGCATCTTCTTAATTTTTTTTCCGAAGAGATTGAATTCAATACATAAAAGACAAAGCATCTTTTTAACACCCTTTGAGCTTCCGATATATTGTTGGAATTTTTCACTTACATCTCTTTACAATGTCTTTCTGCAACATTGCACTGCAACTAAGATATCCTGTGTGATTTTTTCAAATATCTCGAATATTTCGAAGAATTTTACGTGACAATTATTCAAAAGATAAAATAAATAATAAAAGATAATATATTAGAAAATAAAAATACTATATTGGAGAACATATTTTGATATTTCTATCTAATTGTATCAAGATCAAACTATATATAAGCTTCACTGCTCGATAGAGAAATTGAAACACCTGAATAAATATCTTTGGGGAGAAATCAATATCAATTGAAATTTGCAACAATAATATATTGCAACCCCTAACTTCTGTCCTCTGCTATTTTCGTACAAAATTCGATTCGTACAAAAACAAAAGCATTCAATAAGTCACTCTTTTGAGTGGGCGTTATTAAAAGCTATTAAAAGCATAACACGACAGCCAGTAACATTTCAAGTTTCTAGGTCAACAGGTTACGTCGAAAATTTGCATCTAAAGCAGCGGCTGCCTTGCGTGAAATTGATTATCCCAAATATGTCTATATGAAATATTATTAATGCGCAGTGAATGCACCTAAATATATATTATTTCAATATTTCACACCAGAAAATTTAATAAATAAAGACCCGCGAAAAAATTTTTCATATTTAACAATATAAAATTATATAGAAATATATAAAATTATACATATAATCGCAAAATTATATATATAATATGACCATACATAATTAGATACAAGTGCTTTTTATATATAATTATATTAATAATAAATATTTCTTAATTTTATATATTTTATATATTTATATATATAAACCCTTATTTATTTATATAAATTTATATAATTATGTATAAAAATAGACATATTTCACATATAATTATATATAAAAATTTTTTTCCCGGAAAACTACACACGTATATCACTTTTCAACTATCAATATTTTAAGACGCATCACGTGTGCTTTTTTTCTTGGAAACTTTTGCATTTACTACATAAATAAAAAAGGTTTATAAAAATAAATATATTCTTTTGGCGAGATAACTTTTTTACTGTCTTTTCTCTCACTGTCCGTGGGGAGTATAAAATACAGCATGCTTTCTGTCAGAAATGGTTAAATATATTATATATATATATATGATTAAAAAATTCAATGAAATTCGTGTAGAGAATATTTTATATCGTAAATTTTCTTCAACTTTTATTCTCTCTCTGTCTCTCTATCTTTTTATCTTATTCTTCGAAATATTTTTCTGTTTTTTTTTTTTTTCATATTTGCAACCATTCTAGAGTTTCTTAAAGAAAATTGATCTTTCTCTCTTGTTCTCGATGCCTGAAATATTTTCGAAATATTTCGCTGTTTCATATATATTTGTATATATATACACGATATCAATATCTTCGTCTACTTTTTTGTAGTGTTGAGATAAGATCTCTTGCTTTTTCGTAGATCGCATAACGGAATAAACGCCTTTCCAAAATTGTATCTGTCCTGGAAGCTGAGCCATCACGTCTAAATATTGACGAAATTTGCATGACGTATTGGGTTCCTGGCTAGATTACTTAAGTCGCTGTGTTCTTCTCTCTCTCTCTTTCTCTGTCTCTCTTCTATCTCTCTCTCTAGGTGTTTCTTCTCCTCGTAGAAACTTCGCAAGTAACTTTCCTCTCCAGAAACTCATCAATATTTATGCCGGAAGATACCTACGATCTCCCAAAGTACCGCTCGAGATCGGTTCCTGCGAGATCTCTTTTTCCACACATCGACGGCAAAACAAAGCAGAATTTTTTAAAATCTACCTGTATGGGGTGCCCGAGAATCGCAATATTGCTACTATAAATCCACAAATTATTATTACACTGCAAAAAAATTTATTGAATTCGAATAAATATTTATTTCAATTGAAATAAATAAATATAAATATATTTTAATTAATTAATTTTATTTGGCATATTGATACTGCCTAATAAATCATTTATTTGAAACTAATAATGTTGATTTAATGTAAAAAATATTTATTTGATACAGAAAAATCCTTTTCAAAACAGATAAATATTTATTTGTTTCAACTAAATGGTTTATTAGGCAATATTGAAATAAATATTTATTAATTTAATAATTTTTTCAGTGTATTAAGATTATCACTGCATATTATGTCATTATATTATTGTATCGAAATACGTCGAATCAGTGAGATTTTTGACAGTCACGTGACTGATCTGTAGCTTTCCAAGTCACAGAATTACGTAACGTCATAATTAATTATCCAAATCCATACGTTACATTTCATAATCACCGTTTTCGCGAATAAAGGCCTCTCCATTTTTTTTTAATTATCTATTAATTATCGTTGCAATACATTGCAAATTTCGTTTATACGATTGACAATGAATAAATCACCTAATTCGAAGATAATTTTATCAATCAATTAGCAAGTCGTTAAAACAGTATAATTAATTATTGCTCCGTATTAACGCAAGGCCGACTGTCATTTAACGGCTGATGAATTATTGAGCATTACTACTGCGACAGCCAAGTAGTAAATATCAACGAGAACGTAAGCTGAGCGTAAACAATCGCGTGCAATTGATTAATTAGCACGAGGGGAATATAACACGAAGTAGGAGGAAAACGAAAAAATTGCTCGGAGCAAGAGATCTCGGTTTTGTATCGATTGCACGCCAGAAACGATGACAATAAATTTTGCGAAAATACAAATGCTCGTGCCGGGGAAAATTATACGAATTGATACAAGATTTTTTTTTTTTACTCGTTAATTGAACGAGTGTTTGATTTCTTCTGCAAACTAAATACGACGCAGGTATCTACAAACGTGTGTTCAGATTATTTAAATTCAAAGACATTTTTAGATCGAATTTATAGTTGTTTTTTTTAAATAATGTAATTTTTTAAATTAATTTACTTGAGTTTTTTCATATTATATTGTGTATATTAAATATATTATATTTTATATTTTATATTATGTATTAAAAATTATACAATAAAAATCAACAATAATATGACTTGCTGAAGCAATATGGATTTTCATCATTAAAAAAGTGCGAATAATAAGGACAAAAATTATTTTAAAAATCTTCAATCTTTTAAATAATTTTTAATCATTTTTGCTCATATTATTGCTGATTTTTATTGTATAATTCTTGTACAAATAATTATATGCACTATATGGACAATATAATTTATCCTATTTTAATGGAATTAATAAAATCGTTTAACATTAAAATATACAATTTGGAGTGCAATTCCGCGTATTAAAATAAAGATTATTTTCCCGAATAAATGATTAAAGCAGAGAAAATATTCGGATCCGATAATTCGAACACGTCGGTACACTGGAATTCCGATTGCGTTTATTCGAATTCAAATCGCGCACACGTTTCATCCCCTTTTCGCCCAGAGACTCGCGTAATATTACGCCACGTTTCGCGAATCTATCTCGTGACGCGAGATTTTCTTACTTGTCGCTTCGCGTATAACGACGGGACTCACTTTGGATTGAAGTTGCGCCGCTCGTGAAACTGCAAACCGAGAAACGTCGGGAATATCGCGCTCGCGCGGGTGCTCGAAACGTCAAAGTGTGCTCGCCGCAAAATCGTTCCGGTGTGCAGCTACGTACTGCGAGATCTCTGATTCCCGACGGGACGTGCCCCATAAATCCACCCTCGCGCTCGCAATGAAACGCAGTTTTATCTCGCGAACGCGTCTGCGAATGAAGCGCACGTAAAAATACGTACGCGATAAAAAGCGACACTGGGTTAAGGTTAACGACGGCCTCCTCTCTCCGGTTTATTAAACAAATCTGTTTCCCTTCAATTCAGAACGTCAAAAAATTTCGTGTCGCAAAAATTATAATTAAATTAAATATAATTAAATAATATAATATAATTATATATATAATATATATAATAATATATTTAATAATAAATATATATATTATATACATTATATATATTATAATATATATTATATGTATATATTATATTATACATATTATATATTATATGTATTATATTACATATATTATATATTATAATTATATTCTCTATTTCCTATTTAAAAATCTATATATCTATATATTTAATTTAATATAATTAAATTAAATTTTATTATTATTATAATAATAAATAAATGAATCAATTTTATGTAACACGTTACATTTTATAAAATTATCCGGTATATCGAGTTTAAAGAATATATACATTTGCATAAAGGATGTAAAATTTGAGATTAACAATTTGTGTAATGAATTTATAATTAATTTATATAATTAACTGATTTAATAATTAGATATAATAATTAAAAATAATACACATGTATGTGACGTGTTTGTCAGTAGTTTAAGCATTTCTATGCTCCGACCTAGGTTCTATAAAATTCTGATGGAAATATCCAGCAGATGTTCTGTTAAAAATAGAAGCGAAAGAATGAGTGATGGAAAAGTGATAACGGGGCAAAAAATATGTCAAGGAACAAATAGCGACCGATAGGTACAACGCAAATACATTTTTCGGCCATCGGGCACAGATATTTCTGTCGTCAGCCTTATTATTACGCGAGTTTGAAACACAATAACGATATATCGAACTGTGCGCCGGTTTTACACGACCTGCTAAAGTTGCATCATATATTTTGATATTATTGATTAATAATTATAATATTATTTAATATTTAATAATTAATGATTGTGTTAAATAATTAGAATTTTATAATCCGCAATATTAATGCAATTCAAAAAGCCGAAGAAAAATTATATATAATATAATTATATTTATATATTATTTATATTATATATATATAATGGCATGCGAAATCTATAATTCTCTCCCCTGCTTCTTCAAATCGAAATATATAACTCAAGATATTTAAAGTTTCTTATTTTATTCTCCATTCTCTTTCATATCTATAGAGTTTCATTCCTACTTAATCTTAAAAAATTATTCTCAAAAATGTATAGGTACCCGTGAAAAACTACAATGTTCCATCTAAAGTAAAAAAAATGATATGAGGTAAAGAGTTCTAGAGAATTTTCTCTTAGAATTTATTCTAAAAAGCATAGTAATCATGGGAATAATTTTATAAGTTTTCTCCGATTAATATGTATTTATCACAATAAAAAATATTAATTATATATATATTTAATGGGAGAATTTTATAAATTTCTCCGATTAATATATGTATTTACCACAATAAAAAATATTGATATTTTTTATTGTAACAATAAAATCAATAAAAAATATTGATATTTTTTATTGTGACACTATGTAAAATTAATTCAACATTTTATCATGGTAGATAATATTTTTCATCGTGGTAAAAATATTAAGCAGATTTATCCCACGTGATTACCGTGAGTTTCAGGATAAATTCTGAAGAAAAATCTCCCTCTCTCTGCGTGTACACACGTATAATATTCTGTAGCATAATATAACTGAACATAACGCTGGAGAAAATGCAAGAAAATTCCAACAAGAGTCGCGCGTTTGATGTTATTTATCGGTAGTTCTCGTATATATCGGCGCACTCGATATACGCGTACGTATACGCGCATCCCTCGTCTCGTTAAAATGACAAAGGCTCGGATTTATTCCAGATACGTTCGCGAGCAAAGTGGCAGCTTGCCAGGACAAGTACGCCGATGCGAGCGTGGGCAACGTCACCGGGAGCAACGCGGTGAACGTCTTTCTGGGGATCGGCGTCGCGTGGAGTATCGCCGCCATTTATCGTGCCTACCACAGCGAACCGTTCCTCGTCAAACCCGGCAAGTGAGTATATAAACCGATCATTTATATATCGAACAATTATTCATTAATTTAGTAATTTATTATTCATTCATTTATTTATTCATTATTTTTATTTGTATCAAATTAAGGGGATCCTAAACGCGCATCCTTTTTTCTTTTTTCATTGGTTCAATAGAATAATAAATACTTTTCCACGATTAAAGTACAGGGAGTTCCATAAGAAATTAATAAAAAAATTATTTTAAACATTAAATTATTATTATTAAATTATTATTGACATAATTAAATTAATAAAATGTTTGTATACCAGTTTATGTCATTGATAACAAGTAATGAAAAAGTGCTAATAATCACATATGTATTTTTATTGGTTGAATAGAATAATAAATACTTTTCCACGATTAAAGTACAGAGAGTTTCATAAGAAATTAATAAAAAAATTAAATTAATAAAAATGCATTAAAAAAACGACAGCTGATTAGTTTTAGTATGAAACATCCTGTATAAATACACTGAACAAAATGACTAAATTAATAAATTTTTATTTCAATACTGCCTGATAAATTCTTTATGTGAAAAAAATATTTATTTGTTTTGAAAAGGATTTTTCGTATATCAAATAAATATTTTTCACATCAAATCAATATTATTAGTTTCAATAAATGATTTATTTGGCAGTAGTAAAATAAATATACTTATTCGAATTCAATAAAGTTTCGATAAAACAGGACGACGTTTGGATTCCCTTAAGGCTCCTTAATCCTTCTCCGCGGCCATCTTAAATTGTGACGTCAGAGAAAATAAACGTCAAAAATTCTTAGATGCCATTTCAAAGTAAATAGATAAAACCATCTAAAGTTGTGTTTCATCAAAATATCTTTTTATCTAAAAATGGCATGCAAAAATTTTCAACGTGCACTTTCTTGTCTCTATGACGTCATAATTTAACATAGCCGTAGTGAGCCTTAAAGAATGCGATTCGTTATACATTTGAGCAAACACAGTTCAAAGTACTGGGTACCCGGATATCAACTTTTTTTTGGACACGTTGCACGTGCCAATTTTTTTTATAGCAGCTGCTGTTACATTCTGTACGAGGTTTCCGAATACAAAGGCCTTTTGAATTTTGTGTTTCAAGTGGAAAAAGTTCCGAAACATTTTTGACGTTTAAAGTTGCCTTAGGCATCTATATATATATATATATATATAGGTTCATTGACTTTTTGATGCGACAGATGATAAAGCAATCGCTTGAAGCGATACAATTAAAGCATTTCAGGAGATATATTTCAGTGTTAATTAATACACATAGTTGAAAAATTTCTGTTTTTAACACATCACATGTCCCAAACAGTCCACAGAAATTTATGTGTTAATTTAACATAATATATGGATATGTTAGATGAAGACACAAATACTGTGTTAATATTTTAACAAAATAAATGCAAAACTTCAAGTAATTTTAAATAAATTTTGTGTAAAGTTAACATAGTTTTAATGTAAAAATTAACTATATAATTTAAGATATTAATAAAATAATTAATGAAATAATAAAATATATTAAATTTGGTATATAAATTTATATATAATTTTGCGACTACATGTATAATTTTATATATTTCTATATAATTTTATATTGTTATATACAAAAATTTTTTCCCGGGTTTTTAACAAGGAAACACAAATTTTTCTACTTTGTAATACATATGTTTAATTAATCTAGATGAGATCAAAGTGACGTTTTCAATATATCAGCAATCAATCAGATCGGATAGTATCGGATAATAAGATGATCCTACGATGATGTGTCGAAAGAGACAATATTAGGTCGGGTTAGGCTAGGTTAAGGTAAAATGGCGACGTGTTCCCGATAACCCAGCCGTCGTTTCCCATTTACGAGGTCCCGTTCGTGAAACAATTCCCCCAAGAAATCTGATCGAGGCGTTATGAGGCCAATTTGGACGACGTCTTGCAACCAGCTGACCTGTCATTGACCGCGTTAAGAAATGACGTATCGAATCGGGAGAATCCGAGATCGCAGCTGTTCATCCGTCTCGATAGAGACGAGACTTCTGACGTCGCGAATTGATCGGAATCGCTTAGGAACTCGTATAAATTCTCCGTTAAAATGACTGCGCCTCGAACTTTTGACATTTCGACGCGCATTATTTTGACAGGAGAAGAAAGGAGAGAATAAACTGCCATGTAAAAGTCGTCAGTTGCGAATCCCTGCTTCGCATACAGGCAGTGTCGCAATTTTTCCACGGCTTTATACGTTGATATTCCATTTTACGAGAATTTCGAGAGTTGTCGCTCGCGAGAGAGTCAACTTTGTATATGGGATGACATTTTTGCGGAAATCGACTGCACACTAGACACATATATATCTATAAAAAAAATATATGTATTTCGTATTTGTAATCAATTAAAAAAGTTATCGAGTGTTCGCTGCGCTAGGCCAAACAATTTCGCCAAAAGTAAATTTTGGCTCGGAAATTTTCCGAAAAAAAAAAAAAATAAATAAAAAAAAATAAACGACATCGTCAAGTTGTCAGAGTTCGCGGTTCGCGACACGTTATCGAGATCGCAAATGCCCCATCCGTCGATCGACCTTAAACGAGAGCCAAGTTTCGACGTTGCCGATCCGGAATTGGGAATGAATCTGCCATCGCGGTGAAAAAGTTTTCCCATTTATCTTCGGCGCGAGAAATCTCGGTGAGATCTGAGAGTTCGAAGAGTCCCCGGGAAAATAGAAAGAAGAAGTCCCCCTATGGATTTTTACGCTTGTTTAATAAATATATACAAATTTGTTCGACGGAATAAACCAGCACGTAAATAAAATTTCGATCGAAGGTCTCGATCAAGTCACGTTAATTCTTAAGGACTTTCAGGAATTTCGAATATTTCTCTATATATATTCCAATGATATTCATAAGACTTTCAGGAATTTCAAATAATATTTCTAGCTTGTTGTAATACAAATTTGTATTTCACAATAAGAGCTTCACTAAAATTCTTCAGAAGATATTTATTTTATATATATCTTCTTTTTAAACAATCTTATTTGTCAGTATAGGAATTTTAATGAAGCACTCATATTATGAAATTTATTATTTTATTAATTTATTATTTCTTATTAATAATTTTATTAATATATCTTAAATATTTATGTAGGTATAAAATTTAAGATACTAACAATAAAATAATTAATAAAAATAATAAATAAATAAATTTTATTTTCTCAAGATATACCTATACAGAAGTATATATATTATATTCCAAGTGAATCGTAAAGTTGATACTTTGCAGTTGGATCTGTTTCGCGTGTCTACGCTCTAAAATTCGAAATACATATCGGGGGCTTTCCCGACAACTACCATATCCACGTGACATATTTTATGACGCAGCTTGGCCTTCTCCGTCACCATATTCTGCAGCGAGGCTTGCCTGGTGATCCTGGTGCTGTTGGTGAGGCGAACGAAGTCGATCGGCGGCGAATTGGGCGGGCCTTTTATACCGAAGGTCGTCACATCCGCGTTCCTCTTCTCCCTCTGGCTGCTCTACCTCATCCTGTCCACCCTCGAGGCCTACGGCGTAATCCAGGCTTCTAAACTAAAAGAAAGGCCCCGTGCGACGCCACTACGTCGGCCTATCCACTGCGTATATATATCTTAGCTCTGGCGTCCGCCAAGGCGTGTGCTCAACGAAACTTCTATCCGGTAAGTCTCTTTGTCAACTGCCTTATTGCTCGAGCACCCTTCAATCGCGACGCGGCTCAGGATTTTATTAAGGGGATCCCTAAACACCGGCCTATTCCCAGCGATAAAATCATCATTTTTGCACCCTTTTTTATTTTTTTATTGATTTAATAGAACAAATGCTTCTCCACGATTAAGAGGATGCTGCCGTAGTTCTGTTTTACCGACTTTAGTTAGGTTAGGTTCACTTTTTATTGAATATACAGATTGAAAAATCCTCCACAATGAAAGTATTGATAATATTTTTATTACTTATGTATTATTCTTTCATGTCGTCTCTATTGGAAGCGCCATATTTTGTGCACAAATAAACTGCAGAACTTTTGTATTAAATAAGTATTGTTACGAGCTGATGCAAGAGGCCGATAAAAAAACTGTAATTTTTTAATTTTTATTGTTTTTTTTATATGAAATTGCTTTAATTGTGCAGAAAGATTTTTCAATCTGTATAGCCAATAAAAAGAAAAGCCCTTAAACTCAAAGTTGGTAAAACAGATATGGTCAGCATCCCCTTAAAGTACATACATTGAAAAAAATCCATGTATTTTTACATGGAAATTATACTTGTTTAAAACTGGAAAAATTACTTGATTATCATTGCAATTTTTTTCATATGTGCATATTGATGTAAAAATATAGGTAAAATTATTATTTTTATGCAAAAGTCATATGTAATTTCAAATTTACTATTTTTACTTTATTTGAACTTTATTTTATAAACATCTATCCATTTTATTTATAACATTATTTTATAAAACAAATAAATAAAACACAAAAATTATGGTATTTTTTAACTTTTTTGGAAAAGCACTTATTATTTTATTCAATCAATAAAACGAAAAGGGCGCAGAAAAATAATGTTTTATCGATAAAACAAAACAATGTTAGGAGCCTCTTAAGGCTCACCGACCATGTTAGAATTGTGACGTCAGAGACGAGAAAACACACGCCAAAAATTCTTAGATTCTTAGATGCTATTTCAATGAAACAACAGGTCTTAAAATACCTCGAAAACTATCCTTTTTCTTTTGTAAATCAATCAACAGCTGTAAAATGACTGTAATATGAGACTCAGTCCATTTTGATTTTTGCATATGCATAGTCATTCTGCATGACAGTCTGATATCACGATTATTTTATGACTGTTGATTAATTGTCAAGGGAAAAGAATAGTTTTTGAGGTATTTTAAAAGCCATCTGAAATATCTTTTTATTTAAAAATGGCATCTAAGAATTTTTAGCGTGTTTTCTCGCCTTCGACGTCACAATCTAACACGACTGCGGTGAGGAGCCTTAATATATTTTTATTAATTTATTTTTTATTATTTTATTAATATAATATTTATCAAATTTTCTGGAATTTCCAATATATTTATAGCCCCTTATTAAATTTGTATTTTACAATAAGAGCTAAAATTCCTACTGTCGAAAAATATAATTTCGAGAAAAAAAAAATATATATTTTATGTACGCATATTTTTATGCAGCGTCTATTTTCGGAAAATCGAAAAACAACCGCATCATTTAAAGGCGTCATTAAAGAACGTCAAAGGTAGTTGTTTATTCGAGCTGCTGCGTGAGCTATTAAAATTCACAATCGCGCTATGAATTAATATGACCAAATATTTGGAAGCTAATATCGACGGGGAGATGTCTCAAGCCAAGAGATTAAATATAGCGAACGATCGCCGTCATTTGCAGACAGCCTTTTGTGTTTGGTTTCACGTGACCTATATTCAAATTAACTCGCATAATATGTCGCGCAAAAATTAACATAGAGTTTTACTTCACGCACATTGTTTTGCAAAACACTCGTCAAAAGTTTTTCACTCGGAGGAATAATTTATTCTCCACAAATATTTTTATACACATGTCTCTCTTTCCACCTAATTATCCTTCTCACCTGACATTTATTATATTAATTATTAATTTCTTTTTGTTATATATTAGATATTCTATATTATATATATATGTATATAATATATATTATATGTTATATATTCTATATTATATATATGTATATAATATATATTATATATTATATTATATATTATATTATATAAATTATTATGTATAATAATTATTAAATACAAATATATTAATATATATTTTAATATATTATATATATTTATTATATTATATATATTACATGTAATATATTAAAATATATATTAATATATTAATGTTCAATTGTGATAATTTTGATCTTGACTTGTAATTTAAGGCAATTAAAATTTTTCTCAGCAACGTGATCCAACCCCTTACAATTTTTCCTCAAGCAAGTCTTTCTTTAAACGATCCCCCGTTTTGATTGCAGGATACAGAAGCGGAATCGGAATGGCACGATTCCGCGAAGAACGAATTCTGAACTGTGCCGGGAACTCTCACATAAGTTCACCCCCGACCTGAGACAATTTTAACAACGAACATGATCGCGTGACGTATTAAATGCGTGGATACTATGTGTATGACTGTGTGCGCGTGCGTGTATGTGTGCGCGTGTATGCGTGTGCGTGTGTGTGTAGATATACCTGAGAGCGCAAGTGTGCGTGCTTGCGTGAATGCGTCTATAATGAAGAGAAGAAAGAGAAATCGATATCGAAGGAGAGAAAAAGAGTAACGAAGAAAGAAAAGAATTAACGAAGAAGCGGAGGAGAAAAAAGTGCGGGCGAGAAAAAGAGTGAGTTTGCCTTAAAATATAACTCAAAAATAAAAAAAAAATAAAAAAGAAAACCGGAAAAAGGACAAAAGTGCGCAAGTTCTAGTCACACATCGCCGTATTTCTCCCGCGAGGAAAATTCGGCTGCAATCAAAAAAAAAAACAAAAAAAACAAAAAAAAATATATATATATACGGAAATAAAGAGGGAAGAAAAGTGAAGACGATATAATAAGGAAAGTATATATATATATATGTGTACGCGGTGAAAAAAAATCTCGCGAGTATGTACGTGTATTTATTTATTAATCCTCTAAGGAATACACAGGTTTCTATGGTATTTTAGTAGCGGACTTGTATTGTGCAATTCCTTTTTCGCGCCAGAGAGAAGCAAACAATGTCGCTAATTTTATATACACGCGTATATATATATTGTTGTTACGATATATTCCTTTTTTTTGTGTGTCGAGGGAATCTCTGATGGATTAATTTTCGCGACAAGATTTCAAAGGAAGTGCAGAAATTGAACAATTATATATTGAACGTAGTTGTGCAATACAGGACCAGCTTTGAAAAAAAATCAAATTTTTAATCTCTCTTTACATTTCATTTATTTTAAATTTTTTAATTTTCAATCTATTATCAATAATTGTTAAATTATTGTACAATATTATCCGTTGAAAACATCTTTCGATGATATACGATGAAAATTTACACTATATAAATTTTGTAAAATTTGGTAAATTTAGGTTCGCGACGAAAAATTGGAAAGTGAAACTTTGCAGTCTGAGATTTCGAAAAAAAAAAAAAAAATGGCGATTGGTCCCGAGAAAATATTGCACGACCGCGTCGGATTGTGGTGTAGAAATTGGAAAAACATATAGTGCATTTTTATCGTTGCAATAATTGCATAGCCACAAAATGTGCGTGTATGTGTGTGTATGTGTGTGTGTGCGTGTCTGTGCAACACATACGCGTATATACGGATTTGCCAGTTTTTTTGGTGCGAGTTTTGCCAATTTTGGTATCAGGCTTGCCCCGGATCCCCTTCATCTCGGATCGGAGAAACAGCCGATGTCATTGCCATCTGTCATTGTGTGAAATATGAATATGAATTGATGAATAAATAAATCACTTTTTTGACAAACGACCGCAAGCATGTAAATTGCGCGATTCACTTTGACGTGCGAAAAAGAAGCTAGGGAAGCTTCCGAAGTGGGGAGCTTCCGAAATTGTTATCGAAAATCTTTTCTAGAAAACGTTTCTTTTTCAACGTAAATGCCATATTATACGGTTTAGACTTCGTGGTGAGAGACATGGCGAATAGTAGAATTTAGATCTCAGGCAACCCCGTTTCGACGATTTATAAAATCCCTCTCCGGTTGATGAAACATTTATTTTCCATTTCTTACTATTTTATACTTTAAATCTTTTTAACTGTTCAGAATTCAATTTTTATATATAGGAACGTCGTAGAATTTATGTTTTGTTGATACAAGTCTGTTACAAATCGTATCGTTCGAATTTTATATAGATGAGTAATTTATACAGAGAGCATTGATAAGCGAGAAATAATTACTTGGATTTAGATGAATTATTTACATCATTTCAATCGTAATGAAACATTGATCAAGCAATTCTCTTTGTGTCGCCTGTCAACGGTTTTGGAAAATGACGACATTAATTAAAATTACGCATAATTATAATATACTTCATTGAACTTCAAAGTATAGCAACTGAACAACTACTGTATATAGTTGCTCATTATTTCCAATCCGACACGTGCATTCAAGATTTCGTAATTATTTTATAAAATCATTCGAATATTATTAATACTTCTTATTATTTATTTATTTTTTATTAATAAATAAAATATAATTTTCTCGAACCTTAGACAAACTTTAAAAGACGTATTAAGAAAAGTCCAATTTTAATTAAAAATTATATTTTGTATTACACGTGCAGGCAAAGTGGCACTTTGTGTGCGTGTTTTCTGTGCGGAAAGCGGCCGATTTCCCACGCCGCCATCTAGCGGCGACGCGGTGAGTGAATAAGCCGCGTTCAAAGTCATTGCCCACGGCTTCAGCCGTGAACGCACCGTGCCGCCGCAAGATGGCGGCGTGCGATCGGCCACCTCGCGCACAGAAAACGCGCACAAAGCCACTTTGCCTGCACTTGTAATACAAAATAGTATGTGTATCACGTGCGGATTGACAATTGTTCACTCGTGTGGGGTGGTCGTGACCAATTGTCAACTTTCCGCACTTGATACACAATATACTATTATTTTATTAATAAAAAATAAATAAAAATAAATAAAAAATGAAATAAAATAGTAATAATATTATCGAATAATTTTATAAATAATTACGACACAAAGCATGCGTTTAAATAATTTTTCAAATATCTTCAGATGCGCATCAACTGTTTCTCATAAACGTCATCGGAGAAGGATTTCGAGATTGTCGTCGATCGGGACAACAACGTGAATCCTTAATTCTTGGCAGCAAGAAGAGAGATCACGTTATTAAATACCAGCAGAAACATATTTACAATTGTTAAGGATAGCTAGATATCGCGACAAACGTTGATTAGAATCCCTCCTCCCCCTTTCCTCCCCCTCGCGAGTTGCATCGCGGCCTTCGTTCGAATGTATAAATCGCACCTGTCTTTTAAAATCACAAGAAAAGCGTATATAGAGAATCGCATTTCTTCTCCGCGAAAATTTTAGTCCAAAAATGATAATATAAATTAATCGGGGAGAAAAGAAATACGATTCTTTAATTTTGCGTCAATTTTAAAGAAGGGGCGTAATAAAAATAAAAATAAAAAAAATAAAAAAAAATTCTCTCGTTGATTCCCTCACTGCCTTTGATCGGGGGTCGCGTAAAATAAATTCGCGAGTGGAAGGAGCGAATAATCTCTCCCTCCCCCTCCCTCCCCCTCCCCATTTGCGCGACCAGTATTGAATCTTAAGTTTACAATTGTTACAAGAATCTCGTACGATTTTTAGGGAGGATTTTTAGAGTACGTCTTGGGATTAGGCGGCCATTTTTTAAAGAGAGACATCGCGACATGTTCTATGAACAGACAAGGAAAGAGAAATACCTCATATGAACATGAATAATAATTATCGCTAGCAATTTTTGTAACGATTAACCGGCTTTTTGTAACACACACACACACTTGCGAAGGAAGAAATTGTTCTCTCACACACACATCCCCCTCCTCTCTTTCTCTCTCTATCCCAATTAAAAAGATGTCAACTGTGTGTGCTTTTTATCGACAAATTTTATTTTCATTTAACTATTTATTGTCTATACACAATAAAAAATCCTTTACTAGAATTAAAGTATTAATACTATATATATGTACATAAAAAATCCAAGAAAGTTAAATAATTAGAGTTTTCTTAATGTTTAGGTTAGGTCGACCTAACCTAAAACATTAAGAAAACTCTAATTATTTAACTTTCTTGGATTTTTTATGTACATATATATAGTATTAATACTTTAATTCTAGTAAAGGATTTTTCCTTCTGTATAAATAATTAAATAATTATTTACATATAATTAATATTTAATTATTTATATAAAGAAATAAATAATAAAATACTAATAAATAATTAAATAAAAATAATATTTGTCGAAAAAACAGACAATTAGCATCCCCTTAAGACGAGGTGTTCTCTCTCTCTCTCTCTCCCTCTTTCTTGCAGGATGTCGCTTTAAAGTCGTTGCATCTAAACGAGCTGCACGCGAGCAAGCTCGTTACGTGTTTGTTTCTGTGAGTATATCAACCTGTATAAATCGGAGTTGACAAATATACGACATATTTAGTGGCTGCTGCACGAATTTAACGCGCGTTAATTAGCGTTAATCCTGATTCTCAAGCTATCGCTCTATTTATCTGCGTTAAAGATAAAAGCATGATTTGGAGGAAAGAACAGCGAACCGTTGTTACTTTGGTAATTACTTCGCGATTACATTGGTGTAATTCCACTTCTCGCGATGGAGTTCTCTCGTTATCTTTTACCTTCTATATTTCCCCTTCTCTTTCTCTATCTCTCGCTCTCTCTCTCTTTCTTTTCTGTCGTATTGGATTATGATATCGAATATAAAGGATTATGCAGCAGTTTTTCTTGCAGCTTTCAAGATTTTATTTCTCGTAAATGAATATACGAGAGCGTACAATTATCTCGAGTTTTAAATCGATTTTGGATAATCGAATTATAAATAAAATTTAAAGTGCATTTCGTTGATCGAAACGCTTTATTTTGTTTAATTTTGTATATGTTCATATCATTTAATCAATTGATTTTAAAAGCTTGCCGCGACTTAATTCAATCAGCTTGCAAAATACGATAATAAATATTTATTCTGTTAATTAATAAACGCCAATAAGTAATTTAAACTTTAATTGTTGATTTTACATTTTGCAAGTTCATTTTGTGGAAAATACTTGCTTGTTTCCCAACATAATAAAAACATAATTTACATAATCTTTTGATTTTGATATCATAATCCAACATAATGTCTAGTCAAATCGTCGGATCGATCTAATTAATTTGTTCAAAAATCGATATATCGTGCTTTTAGAAAAAAATTTTATATTGGTTTGAATTGGTGTATTCGTATATATTCAATTTTTCGTTTCAAAATACAAATTTTTTTTTCCGTCCTAAGAAAAAAAAAATTCCTTCCATTCACGCAATCCGATATATGTTAACTAATGTGGCTGCATAACGTACACATATCAACATTATATTAATATTTATTAAATAATTAGAATGCGGTACATTAAATTCAAGAAAAATGTAGATGTAAAACTTTTTTCAGTAGTACAACAATATTTCAATTAATTATATTACGTTAATTATATATTTTCGCTCAATATATTTCTGTAATAATATGTTAAAATTGATTTGTGTAATTAATATGTTGCATTAATTATTTTTTATTTTATTATAGTATACGATAATTTATATACGTACTTACTACGCAAAATAAAAAGTTTCTTGTAACAAGAGAAAGTGTAACAAATTATGATTGTACAATCAAATTTTCAAGTTATTAAATAAACCAAAAATATACATGTTTATTATAAGCAAAAATTGCATATTTGGATATAAATATATAATTTTGTCGAAATACAAATTTAGATTATTTATAATTAATTATTTTTGTGTAAGCAATACTCTGTATGTTGTAAGATTTGTTGTTTGTGTTTGTACGCAATTAATACTTTTTTCTATTGGTCCCTTATTACAAAAAAAAAAAAAAAAAGAATTTAAATTCGAAATTGAAGTAAATTACTGACCGCATATACATTATCATAATTAAATGTTGCGAAAACTATTTTCATTAATTAGAATCCTCAACTATGGCAGTGTTAAGGTTAATTTAATATATCTCTTGCAGCTTTTTTAACTTTATTCCGTCATTCATATTTAATGAATTCAGAATTGCGCTTTCCAACCATTTCTACCATTAATATAAAAGACATTTAATAGTTTTTAGTAGTTTGATTTAAAGCGTCTGACGTCGCCCATTGTAGTTAGACAAATTAATTTATATATAT